AATACATATACTCTTCCTCTGGGATTCCAGTTACGTGTATGTTAGACCATTTGATATTGTCTCACAGCTCTCAGATACTCAATTCTCTCTCTCTCTCTCTCTCTCTCTCTCTCTCTCTCTCTCTCTCTCTCTCTCTGTGTGTGTGTATGTGTGTAATTTTTTTGTTTGTGTTTCAGCTTGGGTAATTTCTCCTGAACAGTTTTCAAATTCACTAATTTTTTTCTTGGTTGAATTGAATCCACTGACGAGTCCCTTGTGGGTGTTTGTCATCTCCAGAGCCATGTTTTTTATTTCTAAAAATTTCATTTGATTCTTTTTCATAGATTCATTTTCTTTGCTGAAACTACCTATCTGATTATCTTTTATACTAAGCCCTTGCCATATTAATTTTAGTTATTTAATGCTTTTTCATATTTCAACATCTGTATTTTACTATTTTATCTTTTGATTTTTTTGGCCTTTTTTGTATGCCTCGTACATTTTTTTTTGTCAAATGTTCAAAATCTTGTGTAATATAATAGAGACTAAGGCAAAAATGGGCATACTTTTTCTTTTGGTAGATCTTTATTGTGGAGGGTTAAGTTGATCTAATCAGGAGTTAAATTGTGTTTAGATGTTTTTGTTGCTGTGGTTATCCATAGGCTTTGAATTCTTCTAGTATTACATTGAGTTTTAACGGAGATTTTCTTAATGTTTGTACCACCCTCACCTTTAGGCCTTCCCTTTGATCCTGTGCCTCAGAGAGGGTCTTTTTCCATGTTCTTATCTTTCTTTTAGCAGTAGATTGCTGTTCTTAGTAACTCAGTATGTGATATTTTGATGGTGGTAGGAGAGATGGAATTTTCTGTTGTGATTCAGCTTTAATCTTTGGTAGGCACCATGTCTCTGAGACTTAAGAGTGGGGTCTATTAAGTGATGTTGCCCTATCCCCAGCTGTAGAAGACCTCTATGGTCTGGACCCAGGATGTAAGTCTACCCCTACCTCATGAATAGAGAGCTTTGTTCTCTTTCTTCCCCTCAGTTCCATTGGATCTTAACCAGTCCCTAAGGGTGACAGGATTTGCTTCTTCATCCTCAGAGGCTTAGGGCTTTTGTTCTGTAGGGGAAATAAGGGAGAAGGACCTGGATGGGGATTCATCTCTTTTTTAGGGAGGAGGTTTTTTAAAGATTCTTCTTGCCTTACCTTCGATTGTGTGTGTGTATGTGTGCACAGATTTGATGATGTCCATAGAGAAGAATATGCAAGTGGGTGGAAATTATTCTTGTGTCTGTGGTTCACAAGAGTTCTATAGTCTAGATTCTCAGGCTAACCAACACTTGGACCTCAGCAACTCACTAAACATTTTAGCTGATTTCTTAACAGCTTACATGGCATTCAATAGCATCTGTCCTATGTAAACAAGTGCTTGTCTTATATTAGATTTTAGATAAATTTGCCCCCAGATCTTAGCTTTCTGATGTAGTCAAGAGGAAATTTTAGATTATCTGGCTGTTTTTTGTTGTTGTAAGGGTGGGGCCATGCTCTTTTCAGTTTTCTACATCGTGAGAAGGTGAATTTCTTGATTTTTCAAAAGGAATCACACTTTAAAAAGCACTGAAAAATAAAGAAAAGAGACTGAGCTACCAGAATGGCTTTCACTTATGCCAGGCACAGGGTGAATTCAGGGCTCTGGGCTATTATGGGTCGACTGCCAACCCTTGGATGTGAGCTGCATGCACGGGCCCCTGTGCCAGCCTTTGCTCATTTGTCTTCCTACAGTGATGTTGCATGTGATCTACAACACCCAAAGACAATGGAGGTGGGAACAAATGTCCTTTATCCTTCACACTCTTCACTGTTAGCATCAAGGTAGGTACTCTACCCACTCCACAGGCTCTGGCACAACATGTCAGGAAGTTCTCTGGGGTGGACACACCTATTTCCTCTAAGGGCTTTCAGCAGGTTTTTCGTCATAATAGTTATCCTTTTTTTTGACCTCTGATTGATACAGTGATGCTATGAGTTCCTGGGATAGTGTTAAGCTGTGCTGGACAGGGGATGAATATTTCTTGGGTGAATTGACTGCTCTCACTTTGCCCATGGTCAATTGCTAATCATCTGCTAGTGGTGATGTATGGAAGTGAGGGGTGTCAGCAACATTGAAAGACATCACGTTCCAGGAGTGCAATCATTACAGCAATTCGAGAGAAGTCCTGATTGTATAATGTGTGCATTGATTATGCTATAACAATCCAAATGCCAAATTTACATGATGTATAGCCATTCACATTTTATTGCATATTCTGGATAAAACGTGTAGTTGCAGTTATTGTAGCACAGTAATAAAGGCACTGGAAGCCAGTATCATGGCTGGCACGAGGATGCAGAGTCAGGAGCAAGGTGCCTCGACTCAGAACCCGGCTCTGGAGGAACACCAAGCGCCTATCTTGCCAGCGTGTCCTTTTATCGCGGGAACTAGGAGGGAAGCACCAAGATGGTCCTCCAAGAGTCCTAGAGAGAAATCCAGGGAGTGTATCGGTTGGCCAGTGTGATGACGCACTTCCGGCGCCGCCTTCTTCTTCCCTTTTTTTTTTTTTTTCCTTGTCGCGCGAGATTTGGTTTGTGAGGTTCGACAAGTAGCAGTCACCATCTCTGCTTGCTGAAAAGCTGCAGAGGCCGCCGGGAACCTACGGTGAGCGTGTCTGAGAAGGACGGGAAACGGCCCGAGGGAGGCGGGCACGGCTACTGCTGGTACTGGGGTCCTCTTGTCGATCCCGGGACTCGGCTCGGTAGCGTCGAGAAGGGGCGCTGGCAGGCCTGGGACGCTGGCCGCAGGCTCTTACCCCCTCGTTTCCCTGTACTCGGGGCAGCCCGCGGCCCACTCAGAATCGGATACTGATACACATTCAGGTGTTAACTTCGAAGCCCTCAAAAAGTTTTAACTATCCATGTAACAGAACACACTCCTCGGTCGTTCCACCCACCTCATCTTTGACCCGGATGCGGAAACCCCAACTCTACCCCTCGGCTAGTGTTCCATTTCCCCATTTTCAGTTGGTCCCAGAAAATCGGTTGGTGATCAGTTATCTTCGCCTGGCATAGTGTACACCGGTCTTGAAACTTGTTACCGTTGGAGACCAACCAAAATTTTGAGAATACTTAAAAGTATTCCCTGCCTGTCCCCAGGATGTCCCATTTTGGAAAATATGGAGCCCTGCGATTTGGATAGGCTCATACGAATGTTAAATCTAATAGGAGTAATCTTATCAATCATACACCTAATATGTGTCCAGTGTTTAACATAGTTTCCTATGTACAGTACTGGAGATGTGGAAAGATTTCTTTACCTTGTCACATTGTTCCTTATATTCTTCTCATTACATTCTCTTAATTTTTACTCCACTGTCATAATTGTCAAGGTTCATAGGTTAACATTTGATGTCCCTGCCATTAGTCAATTGTGTTGGGAGTGTGATTTGTTTTTCCAACGTAGCTTGTTGTTTAGGCTTCAACTCCTATAGTTTTCCCCATATCATAGGGAGTGTTGTGTGTGTTTTGCAGGGTGACCTCTGTTGTAGTTCTGTTCCCAGATGATTTCCCTTTCACAGATTGTCGGCTGTAAATCAGACCTTTTAGCTTAAGTCCTTTTGTTTGATATGCTAATCGTTTTAAGTATCCATTGTAAGGGACGTTTATTGCTGATACAATGACAGTGTCATGAGAATTAGACTCCACAACTACAAGGGTCACCTATTTGTCAGTATGAATCACTGCTTTTGTTACCCTTGGAGAGAAACCATCCATGAATTTAGCAGCATTACTTGTGTAGGTTTACATTGTGTTTTCTTTTAAGGTACTTCTCTTTACACTCATACATATTTCTCCTTCTTGGACTCCCTGTAACTTCCAAGATGCAGTTTCTAGCCTCTCCTGACAGCTGTTTCTCTGACACCTTCAGCTTCCTCTACCTTCCTGAATGACTTTCTGGATTCACTAAGAAGAGTCATTGGAGAGAGGGGCAGTGCACTGGCTGTATAGTCTTTTGTCTGATGCTGTTGCAGTACCCTAAGACTTAAGACAAACTGCAGATACGGAGTTGGAATGGAAGTTGTTCTTAAGGTCTATGAGTATGTGCACTTTTATGTGTTTGTTTATATGCTTTTTAAATATCTTTGATCCAACTGATGGCAGCTCTTTGTATTTCAGGTGTTGTTTTTTAAAATGCATAAATATCCATGATTCACTCTTGAAAGGCAAAAGACTTACTTCCTAATGATGAACTAATTAAATGACCCAGAATGAGAGTTGGAGCTAGTTTAGAAATGAAATCGTTTTGTTTCCTTACACTATAATGTTAGGAACTTGGTGTATTTGGGACCGTTATGAAGTTGATGGATTCTTTTAATATGGTAGTGTTTTCTTTCTCATCATCCACTCCCAACACCTTTATAAAACTGAGTATCTTGTATTTAGGGGAAAAATAGTTGTAGGGAGACATCAAATATTCCTAATCAACTATTTTGAAGGTCTGTTCAACTTTTATTACTTCAGTTGTAGAAACTCTCTTGTTCGAATATTAAGTAGCAGAGGAGGAAGAGCATGCTGAGGTCTTACAGTGTTTAATGGATTTCTTCTGTATAATTCATTCCTATCTGTACTGTAGGGATTTCAGAGATCTTAACTGTTTAGAATTCCAACTTTCTTTCCGCCTATAACATTCTGTTTAGTGTCTACCCTAGTTTCCTTTTCTGTTTTCTTTCCTGTGATATCTTCTCCGGATTAGCCGAAATGATAGTCTTCTCAGTCCACTTTTTCATCACTCATTCCTTGGATGATTCTACCTCCCTTTTGCATTTCTCTGTAATCCTGCTATCTCGCCTTTGTGAGACTAGAGTTGTCCCTGGTAATAAGCAGTAACTAACGAACAGTTATTTATATAGTCTTCAAAATAGGATGGGTCAGAGGTTGTATGTAGGACTTACAATAGAGTTATTGTCATTGTTTTTTTCTTTACCTTCAGCACCTGAGTCTTTTACCTTTACCCAAGAAAGGAAAAAAAGAGGTCAGACGATGACAACTGTGTCCTCAACAGCCAGGCCCCAGGTGAGTTGTTTTTTTTCTGTCTCTGTACATATCTGTGTGTGTATATACATATATGTTTATTAGATACATACATAAAGATGTCTATATATACAAATTTACATAAATATATAAAATACTTTTATATATGCATATATGTATATGTATACTATATATATATGTGCACATTTTTCATTGAGGTTTAACTTATACAACACAAGTCTTAACAGTATAGCTCACTTTTTTTAGAACTATGTACACTTGCATGAGCTCACTCATATAGAGACATAGAACATTGTTAGTACCCCAGTAGGCCCCTTCATACTGCTTCCCAGGCAATCCATAGCTCATCCCCGTTAACCACTATTCTGACCTCTGTCACCATGGGAAAGTTTTGTTTGTTTTTCAACTTCATATAAGTGGAATCATTCAACTTGCATTCTTTTGTATCTGTCTTCTTTTGCTCAACATATGTCTGTGAAGTTCACTGACATTGCACACAGCAAGGATTTGTTCTTTTTCACTACTGAGTAGTTTTTTATTTTGTGGTAATAGCATACTTTATTTATTCATTCTACTATAGATGGACTTTTGGTTGTTCCCATTTTGGGCTACCATGAATAAGAATGCAGTGAACATTCTTGTCTTTTTGTCGACACAGACCCTCATTTCTCTTGGGTATATCTCTGTGAGTAAAATTGATAACTCATAGGGTATACATTTGGTTAGTTTTAGTAGATGCTGCCCAACAATTTTCTGAAATGATTCTTCCAATTTACATTTCTACTAGCAGTGTGCAGTTGCTCCACATCTTTACCAACACTTATTGTCATTCGTTTGGAGTATGTCATTGGGGTTTTAAAAATTTCCTCTTCTCCAGTAAGCAGTGATGCTGAGCACCATTTCATAAGTTTATTGGCATATCCTCTTATGTGAACTCCCTGTTCAGATTTTTTTCGTATTTTTTATTACACTGTACCTTTTTTCTCCCACGTTGTATAGTTTCTTATAAGTCCTTTGTCAAATATATGTATTATTAAATAACTTCTCCCAGTCAGTGGCTTGCATTTTCACTGTCCTAATGGTATCTTTTAACCAACAGATTTTTAATGAAGACCACTGTATCAGTTTGTTTTGCATAAGAAATCTTTTCTTACTCAAATATCATGAAGATATTCTTCTATGCTTTCTTCTAGAAAATTTATTGTTTTGCCTTTCTACTTAGGTGTGTGATTCGTCTCAAATTAAAGGTGTGAGGCATGGGTCAAACTTCTTTTTCTTCCCATACATGTATCCAGTTGACTCAGGATTGTATATTGAAAAATCTATCTTTACCTACTGAATTGCTCTAGTTACTTTGTCATACATTTGAAGAACATATATGTCTGTGTCTGTTTTTAAAATTGTATTCAGTTCTATTAGTTGAATTTTCTGTCTGAACTAGTATTCCATGACACTCACTATTCGTGAGTTACGTGGAATTTTGCAACACAATATAACATGAGGGGCTTTTCTTCAAGGTAATTAAAAATACATAAAAAAGATAATTGACAAAACATGCTTTGGCACCTGGCTCATAGGTTCCGTTAATCTCATATTCCATGTTAAGACCATTTCCACTAGAGCTCTATTTCTGAAATACAGAGCTCAACTCTAGGGCTTAAAAACTTACAATAGCCACCTTTTCAGGCCTGTCTTGAGCCTTATACACCAAGTTGGTCTAGACCCTAGTCTTTCCCAAATAAGCAGTATTTTCCTATGCCCCTCTAACCTTACTACCCCTGCTTGAAGGTGGGCTGTGGGTGGGAACTCACTGACAGATTGGAGAGCTTTGTGCTTGGGGTAGTGGGCAAAGAGACAGGCAAGAAGGGATTAGAGTGAGGCTGGGCACAGTGGCTCATGCCTAATCCCAGCACTTTGGGAGGCCGAGGTGGGTGGATCACCTCAGGTCAGGAGTTAGAAACCAGCCAGACCAACATGGAGAAACCCTGTCTCTACTATAAATACAAAATTAGCCAGGCGTGGTGGTGCATGTCTGTAATCCCAGTTACTCAGGAGGCTGAGGCAGGAGAATCACCTGAACCTGGGAGGTGGAGGTTACAGTGAGCCAAGATCACGCCATTGTACTCCAACCTGGGCAACAAGTGCAAAATTCTATCTCAAAACAAAACAAAAAAAAAAAAACAAAAGAAGGATTAGAATGAAAGTAGAATTGGGAGATGGAGTAATATGAGTAACCCAAATAATTACTTGGATATATACAAATTGGGGAGGGAGTTAGAGCTAAGATGTCAGCTATGTTCAGGCATCAGTTCTCCTTCCACATGTGCACTTCCTTTTTTTTTCTTTTATTTTGAGACAGAGTTTCGCTCTTGTTGCCCAGGCTGGGGTGCAATGGTGCGATCTCAGCTCACTGCAACCTCCACTTCCTGGGTTTAAGCGATTCTCCTGCCTCAGCCTCCCGAGTAGCTGGGGTTAAAGGCATGTGCCACCATGCCTGGCCAATTTCTGTATTTCTAGTAGAGATGGGGTTTCTCCATGTTGGGCAGATTGGTCTCGAACTCTTGACCTCAGATGATCTGCCTGCCTTGGTTTCCCAAAATGCTGGGATTATAGGCATGAGCCACTGCGCCTGGCCCCACATGCATAATTTCATGCTCAGGCCCACGCCCAGCTCCTGTTCAGCTGGTTCAGTGTTTGTGTTGAGGTCACATGTTTAGAAGCTCATAGCAGAGTTGTAATTATAGTTACTGGGAAAGTATGCTGAACTCTGGCTACCTTTAATTCTGCATGTTCCTCCACACCTAAATTTCACACAAAAACTCTGCAGGCACGTGAAGGACCCAATACTGAATATGTATCATCATAGGTGCCCTTCTCAGGTGTCTCATTGACAGTTTTGACCAGCACCAAAGTACTGAGGTCTGGGAAACTAGGAACTTGTCGTTTCAGGAATCAGTGGCTTTTGATGACGTGGCTGTGTACTTCACTAAGAAGGAATGGGCCATCATGGTGCCTGACCAGAGAGCCTTATACAGGGATGTGATGCTGGAGAACTATGAGGCTGTGGCCTTTGTAGGTAAGGCCTCTCTCCTGCTGGTTTCTGCCTGGGCCCTCAGGTTGAAGGGCTCTTTTATAATTATAAGCTGACCCCAAATAGCGATTTCAGAGGTTCCGGGTATGGAAAGCCTTGATGTCTATTGACCTGCAAAGGGCTTTCTTTCTTTTTCTATCATAAAAGCTACCCTCCTTCCCTACCTGCCTCAGAGGTGATTCTGAGTACAGTAGGGCTTGAGCTATATCTTGATACTCTTAGCCTAGTATTGAACCTCCAAATTATCTTGAGAGAACCCAGCCACTTTGTCTCCCACTGGGAGTTACTCCTAGAGCCATTTGTCTTTTTCCCACAGTGGGAGATTTCCATTCTCTGACAAAGAAGGTAAAAATTTTGTTTCCCTTTAAATAGAAATATGCCTTCCAGGGTATTTCAGGCTTACTTGGAAGAACTTTCCTGACTCTTCTTCCCAGGATCCCTCCCTGTACCTCTTTAGGGTACCTCTCATATAACCCACCCAGGAATTATCCTCCTCACCTTCCTTGCTTGTCTTGGAGCCATGGGCTTGAGTTTGACCCTCATGACTATGCTCATTATTATGTTATGTTTTCTTCCCTTCAAGCAGTACCACCGACTTCCAAACCAGCTTTGATCTCTCATCTGGAGCAAGGGAAAGAGCCCTGTTTCACCCAACCACAGGGAGTCCTAAGCAGGAGGGACTGGAGAGCAGGCTTTATAGGTGAGTTAAGCAAGAGGGATCCTCTCCAGCTTCATCTCTTCCTTTGCCTTCATTTCATCGAAAGGAAAAGTGTGTGTTCTCTGTGCCCAACATCATGGAGTACATTGGTATCATCAATCACATTCTTGCTGACTGATGTGTTATTCATTGCTTCTCATCCCTTTAAACTGGAGTACACAACACCCTGCTTCAGTATTTCACATACTGGGATGCTTTTATTACTTGGTCATTTGTGATCACTTTTTTTCCAGTTTCTCTAGTTTTGGAAAATTGATAAACTTGGTGCAGTATTATCTTGTCCACTGACCAATAATACAAGTAGAAAAAATTATTTTCATCAGAATTAATAAGTAAAAATTTTAAAGTTTTTATACCGAAATATTTTAAGGTAGCTTATAGTTGTTATGATTTTCTCCCCCTCTAGGACACTCAGAACTGAGAAGATATACTTACTTAGCTAAAGCAATGTTATATGTAATAAAATCAAAAATTCTTCAAAATCGTCGATGCTGGGAAGACAGGAGAAAGGCTTAATTCTTGACATTTAAATACCAGTTTTCCAAGTCAGGAGTCGATGTAAGAGCCACCTTAAATGATGTCAAATGCACATTTTCTTTTTCTGTAGACTAGTTTCTGTAGTTAATGTTTTTCATTCATTAAAATAATTCATTTTGATGCACAAAGCAGGTTCTCATGTCTTTTTTTAAACAGCTTTGTGGAGATATAAATCACAAATCATGCAATTCATGCATTTAAAGTATTCAATTAAGTGGGATTTAGAATATTCACAGAGTTTTGCAAGCATGCCACAGTCTACTTTTAGATCTTTAGAAACTTCTACTGTTAGGAATCATTCACCATACCCAACTCCCAACTCTTGGTTTTAGGAAACTAACTTTCTATTTTTTGTTTCTATAGATTTGCCACTGGCTTCCACTTAACATAATGTTTTCAAAGTTAATCTGTTTTGTAACATGTATCAGTACAGTAGTATACAAGTTATAATGCAAATGTGTTTTCTCATGGGTACATACTCTAGATATATACTTGTTGGGTCATATGGTAACTCTTTGTATAACATGTCAAGGAATGCCAAAACTTTTTCTAAAGTGCCTATATCAATTTACATTCCCTCCAGCAATGTATGAGGGTTCCTAATTCCTCACATCCTCACTAACACTTAATATTGTCTCCCTTTTTGGCTGTAGCCATCCTGGTGATGTGAAGTGCTGTCTCACTGTAGTTTTTATTTACATTTCTCCAGTGGCTAATGACATTGAGCATCTTTTTTGTGCGTATTGGCCATTTATGTATTCTCTTTGGAGAAATGTCTATTCAAACTCTGCTTATTTTAAACTTGGTTATTTTTCCTTTTATTTTTGTGTTTTAAAAGTTCTGACATTTGGATACTAAATCCATATCAGATAATGGCTTACAAACATTTCATCCCATTTTGTGGATTGTCTTTTTACTTTCCTAATACTGTCCTTTGAAGCACAAGTTTTGGATTTCGATGAATTTCTTTTGTATTTTCTACATACAAAATTATGTCATCTGCAAATAGAGATAGTTTTACCTTTTTCTTTCTAATCTGAATGCCTTTTACTTTTTCTCTTGCTGATTACTCTGGCTAGAACCTTTGGCACAATGTTGGATACAAGTTGCAAGAGTGGACATTCTTGTCTTACTCTTGATATTAGGGGGGAAAGCATCAACCTTACACCATTAAGTATGATGTTAACTATGATTTCTTAGAAATGCTGTTTATCAAGTTATCAAGTTGCTAATTTGTTGAGTATTTGTCATGGAAGGGTGTTGGAGTTTGTGAAATGATATTCTGTGACTGTCGAATTTGGTTCTTTCCTGTATTCTATTAATATGGCACACATTACATTGATTGATTTTTGGTGTGTTGAACCCCACCCTCCATTCCTTGGATAAATCATAGTCAGTGATGTACAATCCTTATATTGCTGATTTCATTGGTTAGTCTTTGGCAAAGACGTGGTGACGTTATGATTCATGAGCGAAGTTATTTTGGGTGATAGGTTAGATATGCGTTCTCCAAATTCAATATTATGTTGTTCTTTAACAGTTTTATATATATTATATTTTCCAAGTAAGTTACAGGCTGACAACAGGAATAATATCATACTTTTCTCATTTATAGCGTAATATTTTATACAGAGTTATTTGATAATTTTTGTTGTTTTTCACCTAAGAGATTCTTTCCTAACTTCATGCCTCCCAATTATATCTCCGTTCTTTCCCTACCTTATCTGAGTCCTGTGTTTCATGTTCCCATCCTTATTCGTTCTCAGTATTTTTATACTAACATTCATTCCCATAGCCCATGACCTTCCCTTTTTGATTCCTCTTTCTTAGCTACCTTTTCATCTTGAACTCTCTTTGGACTTGTAAACTCTGATAAAGCTTTCTCTTCCCTATTAGGATTCAAGACTTTTCCTTGTCTCACCTTATTACCTAAATGCTCTAAAGACATTTCGGGTGTAGTGGCTCACATCTACAATCCATGTTACTTGGAAGGCTGTGGCAGGAGGATTGCATGAAGCTAGGAGTTTGAGGCCAGCTTGGGCAACATAGTAAGACCCCCATCTCTAAAAATATAAAATTAGCCAGGTGTAGTGTTACATGCCTGTAGTTGCAGTTATTCAGGAGGCTGAGGCAGGAGGATTGCGTGAGCCCAGGAGTTCAAGGCTTCATTGGGCTGTGATCACACTACTGTACTCAGTCTTAGGTGACAGAATGAGACCTTGTCTCTTTTTTAAAAAGCATTTTATAAGGACACAAAAGCTGTGTAATAATAAGACATATTAATCTTATTTGCTGTTTAGTTCAGGCAAACTGTGGCCCATAGGCCAAAATCTGACCTACCACCAGTCTTTTTGTGTATGCTCTGTGAAATAAGAATGGTTGAATTTTTTAGTGGATGAAGGAAATCAAAAGAAGAAGATTTTGTAACACATAATTATGTGAAATTCAAATTTCAGTGTCTGTAAATGAAGTTTTACTGAAATACAGTCATGTTCATTCATTATGTATTGTCTATAGCTGCATTCACATTACAGTGATACGGCTGAGTACTTGAAACAGAAATGTATGGCCTGAAGAGCCTAAAATATTTACTTTGCAGCCCTTTGCAAGAAATGTTTGCTGACTAACTTTCTGGTGTAGTTCCCTCTAGCATTGCTGAGAGAGGTGGTATTTGTATGCATTTCTTCTTTATCAGATGGGAAAACCTGGGCTGAGAATGAGCATTTGACTTCAAATAATTTCTGATAAACACAAATTCTGTGGCATGGTATCAGGTGAATATCTGAGAAGGGGACCTGATATTCAAGATAATCTGCAGATCAGAGGGCAAGTTAGGCATAAAAGAAATTTCCCAAGGGATGAAATGAATAAAAATGAGAAAGATTTTGTGAAGGAGATAGTAATGAGAAACTTCATATAGAAAATATAAGCCATCCACAAAAGAAATCAGAAAGAAATATTAGTGTTAGAAACACATCTGCAAGGACCAGATACACAGATTTTCTATAAATCTCATGTGTGGGACAGACATTACAGTCTTAGTTCAGACATTTTTCAGCATCAGAAAAACTACACTGGAGCTCCCCCAAATGCCCTCTCCTCTCCTCTCCTCCTTTCTGTGGTCTCTCCTGGACTTAATAGGCCCTTTGCACTTTGTAAATTTCATACTGCCTTTTATACTCAGTCTTTCATGCATCCCTCTCCACTCTGCATTGTTACCTTTCTGTGGATAGCCACAGCACACTTGCTGCTCAGTTTTACCCCTTGTGGTGGACAAAAACCCCATGGGTTTTTGTCTGTTGTAGCAAGTTGTCACTTCTCAAGGGCAAGAAGCAATGATTAGGTGAAAAAACGTCAGGAAATATGAATACATTTCCACTATGAATATATAGCATGACCATTTGAGTACATTATAAGAATGGCAGAAATGAGTGATTTCACTCAACTTAGGAAGAGAGAGATTCAAATAGAAACTGAAGATACTGCTGCCAGAAATGGACTTTTTAGAGAGGTGTTTATGCCTAGGCCTCATAGGAGGCTGGAACATAGTAGTAAATAGGAACTGGTCTTCAACTTTACTTTTTCAGGGTTGATTTCATCTGGGGTGCCACATTCAATGAATACTAGCCATTGGGTTCATTTGACATTTCACAGGAAACTTAATTAAGAAGTTTGTGTCTGGGCATGGTAGCTCAGGCCTGTAGTCCCAGCACTTTGGGAGGCTGAGACAGAAGGATCACTGGAGTCCAGGGGTTGAAGACCAGCTTGGGCAACATAGCAAGACCCTCATCTCTACAAAAAATTAAAAAAATTAGATGGGTGTGCTGGCACACACCTATAGTCCTTGCTACTCAGGAGGCTGAGGCAGGAGGACCACTTGAACCCAGGAGTTTGAGGCTGCACTGAGCCGTCATCATGCCTTTGCTCTCCAGCTTGAGTGACAGAGCAAGACCTTGTCTCCAAAAAGTCAGTTAGTTATTTTCCATATGAGGACTTCTTTTCTGGGTTCAAAGGAATAATTTGCTGTCTAGTTTTTATGTGTGTGTCTTTTCTTCCCTCCATAACGGGGTCAAGCAGCTTTATTTATGAAAAGGTATATAAGTCTTTGTAGGTTGACTGCTTTCAGATGACATTTTCAGGAATAGGGTGATGAATTACCTCCCTTTCCCTTGTCTCACCTTTGCAAAGGTTACCCTTTGTTGTAGGCAAAGGCTATGCTTGGCCAGAAGCTACAGTTTAGAAAAGTGTAAGTGAGCTAGATGTAGATGAATTTGAGCCAGAATAGTCCTAACCTATTTAGAGATCATTTTATCCATGGTTAGAAAGTATGAACTCAGAGCAAGCTCTTGTAGCTGAAAGCAGCATTGTCACTTAGAGAAATGGTCTTGAGGAGACATACTGTGAGGTGAGAAAGGAAAGAACCTCAGTTTATGGAGTTCGCAGATTTATTTAAACAGCAGAGAGGTTTGGGAACCCCAGGATGAGGAGCGTCAATCCAGGGAGCAAGAGGAAACATCCCTGGAGGGCCAGACTGTGATATTTATGGTCTGAGTGCATTATTGGTAACTACATTGCAGGTGATGGATAATGAGTAATGTATCCATGGACTGTTTCTAGATACCTTGCAAAAAGGGAACTTGTTTTTAAGATCTGTTCTTCAGATTGAGAGGTTACCAGGGCAAGAAGAAGATAAAGGAAACTAAGTACTCACATGAAATGGTCTCACCCACCTGTATATTAAGCTCATAAACCAACTGGATTATGTGAATCTCATGTATTTGTAATTAGCAGCCTGCGTGGAACTCCTTGTGTCTCGGGCATAATGGGCCATCCAGACATACTAGGGAGCTGAAAATATTTACTGTGATACTGAGGGTTACTCTAAGAATTAATGTTGAAGAGGTGAACAACATTTAACTTACTAAGAAGCTGGTATGCCATGCTAAAGAGACTGAACTTCATCCTTGCCAAGGGAAGCTGATCAGGAGTTTAAACCAGGGCTATCTGTGTAATCGACCTGCTTTCTAGCAAGGTCATTGATAGCATGGGAAGAATTAAGGTTGGTGAAACAGGAGCCAGGCAAAATAGATAGACCAGCGGTTCCAAAACAGGAGTCTGTAGACCAGTG